GTGTCCGTCTCAGTCTTCAGTCCTGGAGTTGGTGCCTCAGATGTTCTGTAGTTGTCTCATCAAAGGGGACGCATAAAGTAGAACAAAACTACACAACACATGCACAAAAAAAACCCACCAAGTGTCCCAAGTTCAAATGCAGTACAGTTTCAGTAAGTTTTTCTGCTTGCAGGTGTAATTCGGTTCTCTCATCAAAGGTAGGGAGAAAAAGAAAAAAAAGTCTGGAGACAGTTCTGAGAGTGGTATCTGCAACTGTGGCTTGCCTGCCCACTGCTCTCAGCCTGCTGTTGCTGGAGGCGTTATTTATGCAGATCTATGGGGTGAGCTTAGCACTCACCTGGCCCTGCAGGCTTTGTTTGCTCAGAGTTCTCCTGTGCTGGAGCCTCTGTTACAAGCTTTCCCCTTTCCAAGCACTGGGAAAGGTGACACTGCACCCGCGTTGTCAGGCCTGTGTGTTTGTTTATAGTTCACGTGGGAAGTGGGTCTTCCCCCCTCTCCTGTGGATTTTTCCTCCCTCCGCCACTCTCACAAGCTTCCCAGCTCCTGGTTGCTGGGTGCACGACCCCCGCTCCCGCCAGAGCCTCTCCTGCCCGCCTGGCTTGTTTATTTACAGTCCCGGGAAGGGTTCCCTTCCCCCAATCTTCAGCGCTCAGGGCACCCCACCCTCTTTCCAGCGTGTCTTAACTGTTCTTATTGCTTATTACTCAGTTTCTCTTTTTTTCCCCGGTGGAGGTCAGTCTGTCCAGGGGGCTATGCTGCTCTGGCCCAGGCTTGTCTGTGGTGGTACCGCGGTACCGTGAAGCTCACCTGGTCCGCGTCTTCCCAAGCCGTATGGGCGCCGGCAACTGGCAGCCCTGGGGGCCCTCCTCGTTTCTCCATTTAACGTGAGGTGGAGATTCTCTGCGCCGGCTGGAGATGTGGAGGGGGTCAAAGTTTTGCCTCTTCTCAGTGATTATGCCTGCAAAGTGTGTCTCCAGCATCTCTCCAAGATTTCACTATAGGAGGGTCGCTTTCTGCTTCCTCCCTCTAGCCGCTATCTTGGAATCTGTGTTAGGTTTTTTCCAGACAAAGTCTCGGAAACTGTTTGCCGGGGCTGGCTTCAAACCACTGCCCCCTGAGTAGCTAGGATTACAGGTGCCAACACCTGGCAAAGACTTGTATCCTTTTAAGAAGATACTCTTAGAAGAAGAGAGACCAGAGATTCCACCACCCCTGCCAGCCAGACACACACACACACACACAGAGAGAGAGAGAGGGAGAGAGTGGGAGAGGAAAGGACATAGATGGCCACCTGCAAGTCAGGAAGAGAGACCTCAAAGAGTTTTTCTTCCTAGACAGCAATTCATTTTTAATTTTGTTGTTATTAACATGCCATTTGCTTACATAGAAGTTCGTCAGGAACACTTTGGTTGTTTTTTAAGTTGGAAAGGAAAATTGTGTAGCAGAAAGCTAAATTCACATTCTAGAAAGGAAATTGTATATAAAACCTAGAGTTAGATGGTAACATAATTAGATTAGTATTATACCATCTACATTGTTAGCTGTACATCTGATATTTTAACCAGATAATAATATGTAAGGATATTATTTTCTCAGATAAAATTTCTGAGAATTCGAATTGAACTAAAACTACTAAATATCGTTGAATCTAAAAATTTAACTTTTGTAATTATATAAATATAATGACTACTGACAGGTTATTAGAAATATTTCCCCTGAGGGAGTTTCTGTATCTACTTACTAGATAGAAAACAATCTTGTTATTAAAATATGAAAACACAGTAAGTATTAAGTACATTTTTCTTTTAATTTGGCCATAATTTTTCAACCACATAAAATTGTATAATACTTTGTTTATTAACCTTTTATGGACTAACCCTTTGAGGGGAAGCATGCATATAGGTTATATAAAAATATACTGGCTTTCCCCTACAGCCTCCAACCCCAGTAATCCAAAAATATTAAATGTTTTCAAAGATACCAAGTGTTTAACATAGCAGGTTTTATGACCAAAAAAAAAAAAATCCATCCCAAAGGAACATTATAAGGTAATACAATTTAAATTTTCTTTTCAGTTCTTAGTGTAGTCGATATATTTTTGGGTCATTATATAAAAGTATGGAATAATTTGAAGTTACTTTTTATTTTGTACTCAACATGGAGATTCGTTCCCAGGGCAGGGTTTTTCTGATGCAAAATTGGAATGCTTGTGTAGTCACAACAGCTGTCCCACACCATGTGGTATCTTCCATTACTTTACTATGGTGATGAATTTTTGGCCCAGTGTTTCGGTAATATTGGATGCACATGGTCTTAAGTGGGAAAGCAGTATGCTTATGCATTCATTTGACTTTTACAGCTACAGTTGGCTCCATATTAGAACAGGGAGAAGACATTCATACCATGGCCACCGTCATGGCTTCTGTAGTAGCTGGATCACAGTAGGCTCTGTTGCCTCTGAAGACTCAGCTAACTATTGCTGAGAAATTACTCATTCACCAAAGTGCCTTACAGCTGGAGGAGAGAGCTGAAAACTCAGATTATGGTCCTAGTTGTTATCAGTCTTTAAAAAATATTAGTAATAAAATTATCATGAAATAAATGAAATTGAAAGGAAAGTTTGTCATAGCAGGAGGTAATTTTTTTTTCAGGATGTGAATCCAAATATTTTATTTAAAAATTTCCCTTCCCAGAAAAAGAGGTACTATTCTTTTAGACCCTAATTAATAAGGAATTAAAATCAGATTGCTTTCTAATGCCCATTGTTCATATATATATATATAATATATATAACACATATGTGACTATATATGTAAACATATAACAAGTCTGTTAATGTAAATTATTTTCTAATTCGTTATGTGAAACAATCATGTATGAAACAATTTTTGGTTTTGGCATTTTAGACAATTTTGTTTGCTCCAACAATATTTGTTAAAGCAAGTACAGAAACTAGATGATTTTATTTAGTGTAAAACTGAACTGTATGGTTTGAATATTGATTGTGTATCTTTATACAATTCCAACTTAATGAACTTATATTTAAATTCTACTTAAAACTTACCTCTTGCATTTCTGAAACCAATTTGTAAACTTATTAAAGCTTTTGACTTTTAGCAATAAAAATATTTCCTTGAAAAATCCAATTGTGTTCCTCTAAATGGTATCTGAATAACAATAATACTTTTTCCTTAAATAAGGCAAAAAGAAAGAAGGAAAACACCTCTGTAAATTTTTAAATCGTCTAATATGGAAAATTAGATTTCTGATATTTGTTAAATATCAAAGAAATTCCAACCAGACCCATGTGGGCTACCTTTTTATATAAGTGAATTTATGCATGTATTGTATGGACTTTGCTGATGATTATGTTTGAGGCTTTCAGCTCTTAGTGGATACAAAATAGAATGATTGATAAAATCCTCCCTACTATTGGCTATTATTTACTGACTCTTAAGTGGCAGGTTGTATTTATGCCAATTTATCTGCTTCAGGGAACATTCTTGATAGCAGAACAAAGTGAATAAAAGTAGTTTGCTTTGCAAATGAATGCAAATGGGAGAGCCTTTCGGAAAGCCCTTTAACAGGGGCAGTGCACTTTGATTATGAGTGAAGCTGCCATTTGGACATGGTGAAAAGAGCACGCTTGAACCATTGATTGGGGGAGACAGTAAAAAGTCAGGAAGGGCCCCGTTAAGCTTGCAGCAAGGCAGGCGGATGTCAGTGTGGTTAGAGCACAGTGGGAGAATGACAGGGAGGATTAGTGTCAGGGAGAAGCTTTGCTGTAGCTGTGGAGATAGTCCCTGGGGTCACTCACCTCTGACTGTTGTTCTGTGCTGATGGTTCTGTAATGCATACTGCCTGATGTATGCCTGTTCATTATCGGAAATGGTGATTAGAAAAGGTATTTGTTTCAAAGAATTTTTCTCCACTCCTTCTTCCTCTCTCCCTCCCTCCCTCAGTCTCTGTCTTCCTCTCTCCCTTCTTCTCCCTTTCTCTCTCCCTCTGTTATTCTCTCCCTCCATCTTGTCCATCTCTCTCCGTTTCTTTCACCTCCCTCCCTCCTTCCTTTCCCTCCTTCTCTTTCTCCCTCTCCCTCTTTCTAAGTAAAGAAAAGTAAGGTAGTCTCTCTGTTGACTACTGAGGAGTAATACCAGAGTGGTTACCACTCTGATGGGGATAGTTTAGTGCAAAAATATAAATTATTGTTATATGATTTTTCTTATTCAATGATAATTTATTTTGCTTTGAATAGTTTTAGGTTTGACCACTGGTAGTACCGAGAATAAAGCAGAAAGTAGGTTGCTGTTAGAATTTTTGTGCAGTTTTGTAATCTTTAAGATGTTTTACTTACTAGGTATTAATTTAGTCAACTTTTAGAAGCTATTTACCTTCTCAAAAACACTGTTTTGCATGGACTGGATGACTTAAGTCTTGGTGCCAATAGTTTCTAATTTTATTTGTTCCCAGGTTTTATAAAATGCTAGCATTTGACAAGTTAAACTTATTTTTAAAGTTGACTGTTGTTACATAGCATGAACAAGAAATATCTTTGTCTCGGTTCTGATTGTGAACAAATACATTTAGTTGATCACATTTTCATTAAGATTTTATTATTACTTTTTTTAAGTGTATTTTTTTAACTTCAAGACCTGTAATAGTTAGTGTGAGGCATTTGTGAGCAGCACTGCATTTAGTAGCAAGAATGCATTCCACAGGCTTTGATAATTATTTCTTACTTTAATGCAAAACTGAACAGTCTTTTTTCAACAGTACTTCTGCTTTCCTATTTGGTATTCATAGGAAAATATTTAAAAGGCTGGTGGAGCTTTGCATCCTAATCTTATATATACAACTCAATCCTTTATCTAGACTTCTAGATACATTTTAGCATTGTTGGGGTTTGTAGAAAACATATTGCCAATAATTTCTTTCACAGGCTTGTTAAATGTTTTAGTAAGCATTCTCCCAATTATCTTATTTTCTTTAATGTTTTGCAGGCACCTGAATGGACAGAAGAGGACCTCAGCCAGCTGACAAGAAGTATGGTTAAGTTCCCAGGAGGGACCCCAGGTCGATGGGAAAAGATTGCTCACGAATTGGGTCGATCTGTGACAGATGTGAGTTCACTCAGATTTGCATTGTAAGGAGAGTGACAAACAAGAACAAGCCATCTATGTAGGAGGCAGACGTAGATGGGTCCTACATTATCTTTGGAGAAAGGCCGCAATTCTTTGAGGACCTGGAAGTGAACCATTAATGAAATAAGCAAGAAGCAGATGTGAATCAACTCTGGTCCACAATTAGCAGCTGTGTGAGGAATTCTAGTGTTTGGAGACTTAAGCTACTGAAACCTAATCACAGAAAAACAATGCCAGGTTTTGTGTTTATAGTGACCCTTTAATTGTGCAAAAGACAGTTCTCAAACTGATCAGAATTAGAGAGGTTGTATTTCAGCAGGATCTTTTTAACATTGAAGTACAGACTTCTAGTATATTTAGACAGGTGGTTTGGATTAATTAAATGAGCACTACTCCTATAATGTGACTAGAATGTTTGCCTTTTTATTTCAAGGATGACGTGACTGTTCATTTTGACAAGTTTGTCTATGTGTATGTTTCCTTTTGGATAGAACCTGCTTTGAGAATTTTAAATTATATATAAATATATGTGTGTATATATATGAATATTGTTACTACTATACACACATCCATGTGACCATTCATATATATTATATATCTGTGAATGCCTACATTTAGAAAACAAGATCGAATGCTGTTGAAAAATAGGGGGTGGGAGGGAAGGAGTAAAAGAGAGAAATGGAAGAGTTTGAACAGACCAAAATAAGTACACCCATGGTGAACATGCATTGAGATGCCCCTTTGAACATCAACTTAAATATTAATAACCAAAGCCAGGACTGTAAAATAGGTACAGTGTTTGGGGGGGTACTAGTGGGAGAGGAGAGTGAATGAAGGAAATTCAGGTGAGACTATATGGTTATGAAACAAAACTAAGAAACCTCTAGCAATTGCTTTAAGTGGGATGGGGAGGGGGTTGAGGGGTAGAGGGGGTGATGCAACTAATGTACAATATAAGTCTAATTGGATTTGTCACTATGAATCCACGCCCCCATAACAAATATATCCTAATTTTAAAAACTATTTTAAAAACATAAAAAATAAAATTTAAGAAAAGAAAACAAGGTATTTTTCTGGAGAGGTTTGACTTAACACTTCAGGTGCTTTTATTCAGGAAATTTACAGCAGAGAATCTTTTAAAAACTACTCAGTGCTGGACATGTGCTAAGTACTAAGTAAATATTTAATTGAAATTAAGGGGAAAAAAACCTTCCTTGTGTCAGTTATAAAGTTGATATTTTCATAAAGAATGGTAAATATTCTTTACTAAGTTGACTTTAAAATACATGCTATAGATCTAAAAGTTCTTAATGGGTCAGTGAAAGCAAAGATTTAAATTTCACTTTTAATTCTGTTAGTATACCTTTAGGACTTTTTGATAATGAACACAAAATTTTTTAAAGACCTGCCAAATGATTACGAAAACAACAATAATAACAAAAAACAACCACTGTTATTAAGTGCTACAAATTACTTTCTGTAGTAAACTTCAATTTTTTGATATAGAAATAAGCTTTAAAAAATACTGTCAAGTTTTTTTTTTTTTTCCTTTTGGATATGACTTACTTTGAAATTTTTAAATTACATATATGAATATTGTTAGGTCTCTAAAAAAATCACATTTAGGGCTGGAGATGTAGCTCAGGTCAAGTGCAGGGCTCTAGTTCAAACCTCAGTATTGCCAAAAACAACCAAAAAATCACATTTAAAAGACTACAGTTTGGGGCTGGGTATGCAGCTCAGTGGTAGAGCACTTGCCTGGCATGCACAAGATCCTGGGTTCAGTCCCAGCACCTCAAGAAGGAAAAAAAAGACTATTACTTGAATTTTTATAAGATGTTTGGCATTATTATCACTTGAGAGTTAAAGTATGATCATGGGAAAATAAACATAATTTTTTTTGCAGTTTCATAAGGATACAAATTACCTTTAGTGACTGAAGAATGATAGAGATGCCTTTTCTTCTGCTAAAGGTGTTGCCGAGATGTGCATTTTATTTTGTTCTTTTAAAGTTGCTTGTAAAAGATAAGTTAGTAAAAACTTACCAGTAAATATCTGACCACATTAAAGACATTTCATGGCTATTGATGTTCTCATTTAAATATCGTGGCCCTCTAATTATATAGCTGCTAATAATATAGTGATTAACATAGTCACTAAAATACTGTGTTTCTATTTTTCCCAAAAAAAAAAATCTCCCCAAAGAAGACTGATTTTCTGTCTGCAATAATTTTTCTTTTCATAATGGAAGTGGCAACCATTATTTTTTTTTTAGTTTGTGTGTGTATGTGCCAAGTATTACTTCTGTTTTCCTGTGTATGTGCCAAGTATTACTTCTGTTTTCCTAATATCAAAAGTACCTTGGAAATAGTTAATAGGTCTAAACTTTTGTAGCACCAAAAAATGCCATTATAACTTTTCTTTTGTGTCATTTTACATCACACTGAGTTTTCACAGTGCATTTTCATTCTGTGAGCATCATCTCCTTAGCTGCACTATACATTTCAGTTCAGTAACTGCATACATACACACAATAAATCATGCTCTAAAAGAGAACAAGTGTCCAAAGACTCAGCTAACTCATTTTAGTAACATGCAGAAATGACTTGTGAATCACACTGAAGCAGGCTGAATGGGTTCAGCTGGTACCATTCCTGTAATAGAATGTTAAGTAAAAGTTAAGCATACTTTAAAGGATCACTTATGCTTCTTTTTGGCTTATGGTGTTAATTCAATTTGTTTTCATTAAGTATTTGGTTATGAAAAAGAAGTCAGGTTCAGTTTGCTGTCAGCATCTTCCCTTTACTTCTACCATACTGAACTGATCACCTGACCTGTTTGCCCCAGCTCTGCACAGCTGTTCCTTGACCCGTTTCCCTGCTAAATTTGTAGCTTCAGGCTTCCTTCTCTTTCCTTTGAGAAACAATTGACCTTTCAGAGGGAGAGGTGAAAGTGTAGCAATGGTGGGATTTAAATGGTTCTTTATTTGGGTTAACAGACTATGGTAAAAAAAACTTACATTATTTCTCAATTAGGAAAGAAATTAAGCATGTTAATTGTTATAATTAGCAGAGTTAGATTGCAAATTCTACTCTGGATAAATATAAGCAATGTTTTTAGCTTTAAAAATTTTTTGACCCCAAAGTATGTTTTAACTCAGGTATACCTAAACTATAACACCTACTTTATTACAGATTAAGTATTTTAAATTTTAATGCATGCCTCTTGGCAAATAATTTAAGTAACCACCAAGGACACTCATTGTAAAAACAACAGAGGAAACAAAAGCTGTCTGGCATGTAAAACTAACTTTAATGTGCTTATTAACTGCAGCCTTTCTAAATTAAGGTCAGGGGCCTCAGATTTCTTGCTTGTGAAGTAATATTATTCTTTTGCCTAAAAGGATGTAAATTGATTCTATTTCTCTCCTGGTCACTAATCTCTTGCATTCTGGTTGTGATAACAGACTGACTGGAGATTTTCTGCTTGCTTAGAAAAGGCCCAGGTAGGCAGCAAAACAAAAGACAGGTGGCTAGATTTAAACAGACTTTTATAAATAACTTAGTGCTTTAGTGTGAGGTGAGAGGTGGGTAGTTTGAAAAATAGCCCATTATGCCAGTAAAGATGATGAGGGAAGATAATAAAATTCCCAGTTTTATTTTATACAGCTATACTAATATACTATATATCATATAGTGATTATACAGCTTTTTTCCTCTTTTTTAATAAAGAAACCTAATGTTTGCCTATTAATGTTAGTCACTGATATGAGACAGATTATGCTGGGGAAATTTTCTTCAATTTAATTTTTCAGTTCTAACTTACAATAATTGTTTTCAGAAATAAATGTGAAATTTTATCAGTGTCTTTTTAGCATCTCTTGAAATCATGTAATTTTTCTTATATGACCTAATGAGGAAGAATATATTGTCAAAGTCCTTTCTTTGCATTTTCAAAACAATCTATTTGATCATATAAAATTATTCAAGTTTTTTGTGTTTTACTAGTTGGATTTCTTATGGTAGGGCTATAGCATAGTTCATTCTATCCTGCTAAAATTAGTTCATTATACCAGACAGCAAGAAAATACTGAATTCATAAAACAAAACACAGGATGCCATGAAAAAAAAAATCAGAAGAAAAAGTATCAAGTAGCAAAAATAAATGAAGTAGAATGGCTTAAAGTTATCCTAAGGAAAATCTCCTGGAGAGTAGAATAAAAAGACAAATAAGTCTCAAAATATTATAGAAAAGAAATGCAGGAAATCAGTCTAAGAAGTCCAAATATGATTAGAATTAGTCCTAGTGAGAGATACAGAAAAACGAGGAGTAAGGTCATTGTTCAAGGGCTTATGGAATCGCTCAAGTGGTGGAGCTCCTGCCTAGCAAGCACAGGGCCCTGAGTTCGAACCCCAGTTCCACCAAACAACAACAAAAAACTCACATCTATTCAGTTAATTAACCTTCAAAAAGATTCAAAGAACACATAAGGAAAAGGATAGTCTCTTCAACAAATAGTGCTTGAAAAACTTTATATTGACATGTAAAAGAATGCAATATTAACAAAAAATTGATTAAAGACCTAAATGTAAGGCCTAAAACTATAAGCCTAGGCCTTTTAAAAGAAGTCCACATAAATTTGTTTAGAAATACAATCTGTACTTATGAATGTAATAACAAAAATACCTTTTTGCATAATAAAATTTACTTTGATTACAAAAGGAAGAATTTTTCATGACTTCAACAGTGAGGAAATTGAATTCATATTTTAGTATTTCTGTTAAATGTTTAGCTATAAAAAATAATAAAATAAGTAAACAATATACAAGATGAGTGAGTTCTAAATATCTCTATGCAACATTGGGCTTATCGTTAATAGTACTGTGGTGGTGTTATTTGTTCCTGCTACAATTTTTTTTAAAGCCTTATTTAGGTACACTTTACCTAACATAAAATCTACTCATTGTAAGTGTGCAATT